GTTGTTTGCTGTTTGTTTAGCATCGTGACCAGACTCAATCTCCTGGCGCCGACGCGGGATCTCGGCTTGAATGAGCTCTTCCCTGAGCGATGGAGGGTCTTGTGTTTGATGTTGTACCGTTGCGTTGAGCGGGTCTACGGCATTAAAGACCACGACACTGTCTTCCGGCACTAAGAATGACTTGACGATATCGCTTTGGTCGACGACAAAGCCTTTGTAACTAATGCGAACACCGATAAGATCATGCCGTTTCTCGTAAGTATCCTGAATCTTATTGATAGGAATTTTCTAGAAGCAGGTCAGCGGATGGGCATGGTACTGCATCGGCGCATTCGAGGTGTATTCCGCGCGCATTGACGCCGCCAAAAAATCGTTATCCCGGAACAGGGAAGGGTATAGAGCTTACATTGTGGCCTATCATCCATAAGAAATCGGTTTCCTTGAAGTCATCCTGCGTAGACTTGCGGTGATCGAGCACACCAATCCAGCACCGGCGTGCTTTGAGCTCCTGTTGTGGTACAACACGCTTGGCGCGTCGATGGAAGTCGTCCCAGTCCATTGCTAGGTTATGCTTATGAGTGAGATGCTGCGGCAATGTATTGATGTATGCAGAAGCTGATTTGACGCGTTAGGCGGGAGCTACCCACGGGTGCATGCAACTTGCGAACTAGCGATGGCGGGGTTGGCGGGGTTTGCAGGATGGTGTGACTGAGAGCATTGAAGCATTGGCCAGCTGTTCGTCGCTAGTGCGTGTAACGGTGAATGAGGAGATTGAATGTGTTGGATGTGGCCAACGGTCCCTGAAGAGCAAACAGCGGGGCAAACGCGTCTGAACACGCTAAGACACGCCAGCACATGACGCCAAGCCTTTTGACGCGTCCCGATCTCGGTGCCGTCCTTTCGTCCGAAACTTCACTCTGTGATCATCATAACATCACAACATTCATCAGTCTTCAAAATCATTGCATTCTTTGAGCGCGGGCTTCGCTACTTCTAAAGTTCCTAGTATGCGCACGACGCTAATAGAGATTAATTCGATTGTTACCTCCACCTGCAGCTCGTTGCGATGACGCACTCCATTCACGACAAGAACGATAGTCTGTCACAAGTCTCATGCAGTAGCTCGAAGCTATTCGCAGCATTGTACCAACTGGATCGTTTCCCTGGACATGTTACGAAGATATGAAGGCGCCCCAGCCACCCACATGAGCTCGGAACGACAGCATTATTGTCCACGCATCTACCATAAAGCGCGCCAAATCTTTCAATACGTTTAAAAGAATAGCTTCCGGCTGGTTCAGGCACATGTGCTCACACGCAGAGCGGTCGTTATCACATTCACTTTTCGACTTACCTAAATGCCACTGTCCGAATTTTCTCCGAAGAATCGATGGATATCGCTGCACAATGCGTCCGATCACCACCCTGGTTCACAGTGGTTCAGATTCTTTTACGATGACTTTCCCATGCTCAACACAATGTTTCTCGAACTTCTAGGAACCAAGTGTTGTTTCTGCATTGTTCTAGTTTGGCCACCCTCCTTCCTAGCTGACAGGCATGTCGTTCATTTGACTCACCGCTTTGTCTCATTATGTATTGGTTGACTCTCCACAATGGTCATGCCTCCAATATGTATACTTCATTGGATTATGACGAGTACAGGTGCGCAAAAACCCTTTCCATATTCGCAAACGATGACGGAACAGATGCCGCTGCGACAGAAACGTGTCGCCCCAGAAGCCAACCCTGGTATCAACGGATTGATCGCAGCATGCAATAAAAACGACAGATTCAAACTTCTAGAAGACGAAAGTGTTCTGCCTGGAGACTTGCGCAATCCAATCCATCCGACGTTGCGTTGGTTTGATAGTAACGGGCCTATGCAGCAGATGCTTCGGTTGGCATCACATTTTCTCAGCCATGACACCGTCCTCGCTTTCTTTGTACCGCTTCTATACGGACGCGACTTGATAGGCATAGTTAACGATGCAAAGAAGACTTACCTCTCAGACCCGCTCGCGAACGCGTCCGAAGAGAAACGCAGTCAATATCTGGCCGGAGTGCGTGAGGCTTTGCATTGCCTTGGGCACAGCGTTTCCTTCCACTTCCTACCGTCTGCGAAGCGAGTATACGCCCGTTCACTGCGGGACAATGCAAGTCCACACCATGTCGCGTCATGTTGCCCGGCATTCCAGCGCAAATTTTCTTGTAGGATCGAAATGGCGGACTGGTTGCGTAACTTTTATTCGACTGGTGAGTACGAAGGCGCGTCGCGATGTGCGCAGTTTCGGCACGATTTCCTTTTCGCTGCAACACTCGTACATGAGATTACCCATGCTGTGGGAATATTGCGACGGGGCAACACAAGGGAGCCGCACATCCGAGCTGACTGTCCAGAAGCTGAGTGGGGCTATGGCTGGGAACACTTCATGTTCGGCACCGTAATTAACCCTCAAGACTTGTCGGGACCAGGCACTCACCTTCTTATGCGTAAGATATGGGTAGATCGAAAGACGGCCAGCGAGACTGGAGGTAAGGAGTACTGCGATGTACCCATGTCTTACATAGCGCAATGGTTTCGGGACGACACATGGAGCATTGTAGCCAAGTATGGACCAACTGCCGTTGCGGCACCAATCGCTAATTTCAAGATACGGCTGTCGGACCAGCCTGGGGCCTGGGTAGTGTCAAGTGACCATCCAGAGATCGAGAGTGATCTGAGAACGCTTCAATCTCAATGGCGAAATCGCTCTTTGAGTCTAAGTCTACAAATAGGGTCGTCATCATCACCAGCTGCTCGTTCGCGTTTTGCCAAGATACTTTGGCACCGTGTAACTAAGGAACAGCTGCAGAAGAATAATGCGCCGGTTCCGCTACGCACTTCGATCATATCGCGGGCTGAGACAAGCCCCATGCCAAAGCTCACTCAGACCATACGAGCATGCTACAAGCCAACAAAGACACAGGCCCTTGCAGGATGCCGACCAGACTACTCTGATAGCTGCGATATGTCTCGAAAGCGGCGCGCAGAGCCACGAGACGAGTGCCGCCGCGTCAGCAAAGCAGTGAAGCGGTAAACTGTGGCTGCGACTTTAAAACCCCAGGACGAGCTTCAGAAGTCGTACTTATCCCACGGAAGTTGTAACATTAGAAACGATATAGCACAGTGTTGATACCGATTCCGGAACGAAGCAAGGATGCGGACTTACTGTCGCGCGCACACTCGCTGCGCGGTCTCAACTACATAGCTACGTCATTCGCTATGTAGCATATGACGAAGTCTCAGCCAACACAGTAATTAGGTATCAGGCTAGCAAACCGTAGTAGTCACCTGTAACGTCTCACCGGTGTCTCTCACTTCTTGGACGCTTGTTCTTCATACCAATATAAGAGCCTCAGCCCCAGTTCCTAACGTGCATTGTCCGTAGTGAACTATTCGACCCAAAGCCAAGAACATCAGCGTTTGAGATGCCTGTTAATACGCCACTTCCCCTGTGGGAGGCATATCTTAATGACTTGATACCCGTCGCGATATGTTCCGCAGCAGATCCTTGCCACATTTGTTGGAATAGTTACACCAAAGATCACGAACCGGTTCTTCTGCGTCCTTGTGGGCACATTTTCGGTAAGCCATGCATACAGCAATGGTTCGAAGAAGGCGCAAACACATGTCCGTTCGATAGAAACAAGCTTTTCATGTCAACAACGGATGCGGAAGAGACCGAAAGCTGGTCACTTGTTCCGTTCGGCGCTTTACGAGACCAGGGCGGCAGAGATGCGCCACGAAGTGATAGAAGAGGTGGAACAGCCAACAGAACGCATTCTGCACCGGAGCAGTATCTGTTCTTCGGTGGCGAGATCATTGGTATAAACAGTCGCCTAACACTCGAAGGCTGTCGTCGCGTCGTTCGCGATCTCTGGTATGTAAGCAACCATCTTTACCATCAGATTCGTAATCATGCCGATGATCACGACCCGCTATCCGTTAGCGAAGACACCCTCAGAGAGTCGATACATGATGCGTTGCCTCGCGGTATCGACGTAGATGACCACGCTTGGCCGCTACTTTTCAGCATGGCAAGAACTATGGTCACGTCGCGGGGAATGGCCTGGGAACAGGGCTCGGAGGCGAATTTGCGTAGGGAAGATATGATGGGCTGGGGAGAGGAGCTCTGGCGCGTGTGTGGGGGTTTTCAGAACCGAGATTACCTAGGTAGATAGAGATGCAGATAATGAGCTTCAGGCTGGCGAATATCCAGTGTGTTGATAGTGGCTAGTCATAGAATAGACGTCTGAGGGTTTCGCTTCTGAGGGTCTCATCTGCTCATGTGTTGAAAGTTCCAGGTTCGCGGGCACTCAGCGCGGCGGCGGGAAAGCTCGAACTAGGTAGCCAGGTACCAGCGGACCATCCCGAGATCTCTTTGCACTCAACGAAAATGCCTGAAGAGTCACATTTACAGTACACTGCATCTGGTACTGGACGTGTTGTGCCGCGTAATAAATGGCAAGTTCTTTGGCTCCCAAGGTGGTGACAGGTTTTGTGCCATTCTGAAGTTTCCGTCGAAGCTACGGAATTTCTAGAACACCACCTGGGCACCACTGGGCACGGACTTCCACCCTCGCCGTCACCAATTCGTTCCCCACCTTTTGCTCTAAACTCTCCAGTTGCTCAAGATTCTCGAGTACTACCACCAAGTCACATACAGTAGTCGTCTGGGTCCGATCCAACGACGTCCACTTGCACTTTTCGCACTGCGCAGGCGCACACGTGGGCCCGACGCCGGCCGCTACCCGGTCAAAATCCTCACCGCTGGCTTCACTTGGGTCGCGCGACAATAGCAAGACTTGAATACTTACACCACTCGCACCTTATCTATTCAACTGTATTCACTCCACGGTCACCGTGGTCAGATAAGTCCGCAATAGCTCGGCTCCCACACACCCAACGCTGTTTCCTATCTTCCACCCATACCAAAACAGCTTTCGTCAACACTACGACCATGGCGCCCACATACAGCATGCCATACACACCCGCTGATTACGTCGCTTCCGAAGCACTACTTCCCGAGGAATTCTTCGGTTATGCCGACATCCCAACTCTAGTGAAGATTCACGAGGTTCTGTGCAATAGCGAAACACAGGATGATATCGAGCTCGCTACATGGATACAGGAAAGATACCTCAGCGCCCCCAGGAACGCGTCGTTGACAGAACCGATGCGTACCGCACAGGAATTCAGCAGATTGGACAGGGCTTACCGTAGGGTGCGGTCTCTCAGTGGCAAAACCCAGGACAAATGGCCAATCCTCGACTTACATTTCAAGGAGATGTCATCAGCTATGGTTCGAAATAACGCGCGCGGTGAAGCCGCTCCCGGAGTCATGTTCCCAATTGACGGATTGCAGAAGAAAGCTTGTCTAGCTGGGCAGCCGCCCCACGGGTTTGTCACACCTGATGGTAAGTAAGCTCTCGCCCAATCCTGCCTGCAGATACTGACTTCTGCCATTACAGCCTCCGTAGGACCAGAACTCCAAGTGCCGTTTGGTACAACCAAGCCTAGCCGGTACCAACCATACGTGCAGACTTACCCACGTCCGACACAGCAGACTCCTGTACCACTTCCATCCAACGTTACTTCCAAATCGTCTGGAGAGCCGAGCTTTGAGAGTCAGACCGTACCTTCCCATCGGTCTCAAAGTTCTGCAGCTTCTTCACAGAGCAACCAGCAGGAGACACGTAAGTTACCACCGCCTGTTTTACCCAACCTTACTTGATTACCTCACTCCACCCCACATCTCAGGGCTCACTTTCGTTTCCGCTTCCTTCATTATGCTGACAAAAAACGCTAGATCTCGCCTCAAAATCGGATAGTCATGCAATGTCTCAGACCGAGCCACCCCCATCAGGCTTGCCTAAAACCGAGGAAGCTCTTGGCCAGACCTCACCTAACGACAAGAGTGGCGCTCTTCTATCAAATCCCATAGGCGGTACCGTATCGCGCAACATCAGCTCCAACCCCAGTGAGGATTTGCAGGCAGAGTCGGAAGTACGAGATGCGGGCGCGGGTAAGGTTCGCGGCCCAAATGGACGCTACCTACCCAAGGACGATGTCGAGCCCGAGACCAAAAAAGCTAAGAAGCCGAAGAAGGCAGTCAAGCCCCGTACGGGCTTGAGAAATATGAAGAAACAGGAATCACCTGCACCAAACACAGTCGGCGAAAAAACCGAGACTGCACCAGCCGAAGATGAAGATCTGATGGCAGATGTCCAGCCGCCTTCGCCTCCAGTGTCTAGCCATGAGGCTGAGGAGATGAATGGAGTGGAAGATGTCACATCTGTCAATCCAGCTTCTGACATCGTCGTACCATCCACAACTGATCTGGCTACATCCCCTACAGCCGTAAACGAGCAAGAGGCCGAGATGGAGGAGGAAGTAGCGTCTGGCTCGGTATGTGCCTCTGCGTATCTTCTTGCAGCTGCGGCTGATCCAGTACCGTCAAACTTGGACAAGCTACCTCCTAACTCTAGGAAGTCCATCAAAAGAAAGAGTGAGCCAACTGCCACGTCTGGAGACCGTAAGCGGGGTAAACACGGCGAGATAGTCGGCCGCCCAAGGAAGTCCGAGCAGCAAGGAAGCGACACATCAGATCAAGCGCCAGTTCAGCAAGAAGATGAGAACGTCACAAGGACAGAAGATCCACCTCAGATGGTAACGCGTCGAGCCACCCGACGCTCTGCAGCCGCAAACCTGAACGCTTCCGAAACCAACAAACCAGATGCGACGTCAACGGCAAACTCCCCTATAAAGGCACCAGTCGACCAGCCGCTCTCAACTTCGAAGAAGCCATCGAAATCCAAACGAAACCCAAGAAAATCATCCGCTCCCGACGAAGACGAGGTTATGAGTGGGACCGAAGATCGCGAAACGGCTAGTCGTGAGGAGACTCTTAAGCCTACTCCCATTGTTAGAGAAGCCAGCTCTACGCCTTCGTATGCTTTGGGAAGCGTTGCGCCCTCGCAGCTTCCGGATAATCATTTCTTGAGCATCGGTATTAGCAGAACCAGCTCCCCCGCCCTTCATCCTCAGCCGTCTTCGCACCAGCCCTATCAATCACCTTACCAGGCGGTGCCGCCAACGCCACCACCTACAGTTGTTGCAAAAACGCCCCTCGTTAACGGCACAACATCTACTTATCCGCCAGGTCACGTGGAATATTTCGCTCGCATCACTACAAGCAACGGCAGTACAATGGACTTACCGATCGAAGAGAGCCAAATCGAGAGAAAAGAGATGGAGACGATCAAGAGATATGCCGAGTATAACGCTGTACCCAACGCGGTGCCAGTATTGTATCCTCAGTTCCGGCAGATCTGGGCTTTTGCGAAACAGGGTTGATACGGAGAAGGGACACTACGGAAGTCTTCAGGCTATACTGAACGCAGTGATTGTACGGATAGCATAGGCTTGAAACTATTACAATAAAAATGATCATCATTGATTCTCATGATATCCAATTTTCCTCATTCCCGGACTTCAATGGTGTCTCTCCTCTCTCTTAACCACTTTCCTGCCCCTGCCATCAACGTCTCCGCCTTTGCGGGCCCCTCCTATCGTACGGCTCAAACCTGCCATACCTTCCACCGCCGGTATAACTCCAACCACTATCGCCACTGCCATGGAGTTGATTGTATCGTGTCTCGCCGCGACGGGCTCCTGGCTGGTGCGAATACATGCGGTCGGGGTAAAAGCCGCCACCGTTGTTTGCGTCTTGAAGCGAGTTCTGGTAGGGGTAGTACGAGCGGCCGCCTGGAAACATGATGTTGAGCGGGTTTTGGCGAATATGTGTGTGGTTTTCGGTGCTTAGACGTTTAGGGCTGGTTGCGGCTGCTTTGCGTATAAAGTGGAAGCTGAAAAGTACTAGTGGTTGTTCTGTTAGATGCTGATGTGCTTGATATGATGGATGAGTAGAAATTAAAGGCAGAACCTCGAAGATTTATATACGAGGACTGGATTGATGAATAGGTAGTTGAGTGCGACAGCCAGACGTGGACTCGATGCGTATTCTGTGTGACTTGATGTATGGTGCGTGAGTTGGCACAGGTGTTGCCGAAAGTCTACAAGGCCACATATTGTATATCGGGATCGTGGGTCGTAGGAAATGTGGCTGCTGTCCCGATATTATTGAATTCAGCGGCATCCGTAATGCCACCTCTCTTCACCTCGCGCTCCCTGACAGTGCCTCAAGCTGACACCCACCCCCTGCCACGTCCTTTCCTGGTAGACGTATGCTTAAATATACCCTCGAGTCGTGATGCACTGTAACAGGCTTTTGTGTCGATGGACCGTTAATGTAGAATGATTATCGCGACAAACTGATTTGAATAGACCTGTGGACGCGCCGCGATGGGGAACGGTATTTGGATAGCTGATGTGGTGCGATAGCCCCTCCAGTGTGGTCACTCTCCATAGACTCAATATTGTCCATGCGAAGCAGAGAATTGCATCGGATTCCATGCTCAACGACGCGTTGTTAAAACGTCTTGGAGCCTCGAAGTTCCTCAAGCTGGCAATTGTTCGCCGACGCGTCGTCTACGTCATCGCTGAGCGCACCGCGCGCCGAATCCGTTAGCCTAGAGGCCACCAGCCACCACAATTCCCTCAGCATGTCAAACACTAGACAATGTCAATAGATTGCATGCGCGTCTTCGACATTTCCGCCCCCCAGTTGCAAATCATGATTATCGCAACAGAGTGTCTAGAAACCGAGTCCAATGACGACAATCTGCAGGTCCGAAGTCTGCAGCTCTACGTCCCCTGGCTAGGGCTCTTGCGGCAGGCGGGAGACGGCAAGCGAACCGAAACGGAGGACATCCGTACGAGCATGCCAATCAACGCATCGATCGCGCGCATATTGAGCCATGCTCACGAAGAGCTTCGCTTATCATGAACTTCTGCAAGATGCTGACATGCAGCGAGAATTTTCAACGGCGTGCAACCTTGGGCTTTGTGCCACGGTCGACATCAGCCTCCAGCGACGGTGACATCTTTCCCGACCGCTCATACTTTTCCAAACACGAACAACAGTCAAAATGAGATTTCCGGGGATCTTGTTGGCGCTTGCGCTCCTTGTCGCTGGATCAGGCGCTGAGCCGATACCGCAGGCTGTGAAAGCACCCAGGGTTGATCTGGGCTACGCTGTCTATGAGGGGAGTTATCATTCCAATACCGGCATCAATATCTTCAAAAGGTAATTTTACGTCTGAGATCTCCCAAATCCTCCAAGAGCTGACCTTGCGCTGCAGTGTTCGGTATGCAGCGCCACCACTCGGCAACCTCAGGTTCGCCGCTCCTCAAGCCCCTGTGCGAAACAGAACGATAGCATCAGCTTTGAGCGATCCACCAGCTTGTCCGCAGACTGGCGCCTCTTCACAGACCCCAGCCGCTTACGGCTTCACCTCCGCCATCGGAAACGAGGATTGCTTGTTCTTGAACGTATACGCGCCGGCTCACGCGAAGAACCTGCCTGTCTTCTTCTGGGTTCGTGAGTCATTTTCCAAGCAATGCACAAAACGCAGGGGATCTCGCTAACAATATCAAGATGGTGGAGGTTACGGGCTATTCAGCGCCTCTGGGCTAGACCCCAGCGAATTTATGGCCACCAACAAGAATGGATTCATTAGCGTCATAATTCAGTACCGCCTAGGCGCTTTCGGGTTTCTCTCAAGTCCAGAGGTGAAGCAGCATGGTACGCTTAACGCTGGGCTGCTTGACATGAACTTCGCATTGAAGTGGGTACAAGCTAACATCGCCAAGTTTGGGGGCGATCCTAGCAAGGTCACTATTGCAGGCGAGAGTGCAGGAGCAGGCGCTGTTCTCTATCAATCTCAAGCCTACGGTGGGCGGCAGAAAGAAGACCTCTTCCGTAATGTTATCACAGCGAGTCCATGGGTACCCGATCAGCACGATTATGACGATGAACAACCCGCAGAAGCCTATGCGGCGTTCCTTGAAGCATCCGGCTGCTCAACAACGAAGGAAAGTATGGATTGCCTCCGCGCAGCGGATACCATCGTTCTCCAGAATGCCAGCGCCAGGGTTTCGGAAGCTGGCCCTTTCGGTACCTTCGCTTTCTTGCCAGTAACAGACGGTACATTTGTTCAGGACCGCCTGTCCACAACCCTTACTTCAAAGTCGCTAAAGGGAAGGCGTGTCTTATCGGGTAACATGGCAAACGAAGGCGTGCCACTTTCGCCTCCTACCGCGCGCACGCTGCAGGATTTCCGAGACTACATTGATCTGACATTTCCCGACTTCTCTACATCTGAGAAAGCCCGACTGGAACAAACATACTCATTTCCTGGGGATGACCTCGACGTGAAGCCCAATGCTACGCGCTTTGTTACATCTGGTACTGGTCTACCCACGGCACTCAACATGAGTGAATTTGGGACAGGAAATCAACAACGTCTCTTGAATGTTTTTGCAGAGTACGCCTTCGTCTGTCCCAGCTACTGGGCTGCTGGAGCTTTTACAGAGGGCTGGAAGTATCAGTTTAGTGCGCCTCCAAGTTATCATGGCTATGATCTGCAAGCGCTATGGAGCGGAACTTCAACGCCCGGCAAAAGCTTCAAGCACGCTTTCCGTAGAATTTGGGGCAATTTCATCACAAAGAACTCGCCGGTGATAAGCTTGGAAGACGCGAAGGGTGGTGTCGCAAACTCGACGATCCCGCCTGCAGTTGGGTATGGTTCGAGTGACATTTCTTGGCCAAAGTGGAACGAAAACCAGCCGGTACTACTGAACATGAACGCTACAGGCGGCATCCCTTCTTTCGTGCAAGCGACAGACGACCTTTACTACTACGTTTATAGCGATCCGGGCGTCAGCAACCAAATCAGTTTGACCGATGCAAATGCATGGGAGGGCGGAAGGGGCGGGCGATGTGAGTTTTGGAAAGCTATGGCGAGCAAAGTACCATATTGACAGGTGGAGACGTGTATGGGCTTGAATGTCTGAGGAATGATGATCGTGAACTACGCTATATCGCAACTACAATCCCAGTCGCTTGTCCATCGCGGCCAAAGATATACCCAAGATTGACCCGCTTACACACCGTCGTTGAACTCGTAGTCTTTGTCCCATCGCTATGCTGGTCAACAACATGTACATTGATGTCTACGTTGTACTTACAGTGTCCCATGGCTTGCTGCCATCGACAAATCTCAGATCAGTACCAACTCTAATCACGTTATTTGGATCGTGATTCAATGTGGATGCGTGTATCTGACTACTGTTAGCCAAGATATACATCAGCTCAAACTCAAGGGTACCTACCGCAAACGGGTTGTGGAGGACTACGTCGCCCGCTTCGTAGTTCGTCACCAACCAACGCCTGTCAAAGGTGTCAGAATACTCTCGTGGACCGTCAGCGAGCAGCCCCGTTGATAGCATGTTCTGGTTGAAAGCGTTCTTCGTTTCTTCGTCGCTCAATCCACTTTCCGCTGCCTTTCGGTTGAAGTCTCCCTCTACCTCACGGCCAAGCGTATGACCTACCAAACTCGTTAATATTACTCAATCATTCATCGTCGACGAGAAGACTCACCATTTTCCAAATAGATCAAGCCTCCTCCAGTCAAGCTTACATCGCCCATAGGTACCCAGGCAGTGACACTCGTCGGCTCGCCATGCCGGAGGAAGATCTGATCATAATGTACGCCGATGGCCTTGTTTCCTGGTGTATTGTTGCGCAATAAGCTTCTACGGACCCCTATAGTGTTGTCGCCCCAGTTTGTCATCCGGGCAATAAAGTCTTTCAGCGCAGGGTGCTTGCAAAACGCCTCTTTGTACCAATCTGCATAGTGCGCTTCGAGCGCCAGACTAACGAACTTCTCCGCTGTCGCTTCTCCCGGCTTTCCATTTCCAGGGGCCGCACCAGCGCCAATACCAGGGAAGTCTGCCGCGTCCTTCTCAGGATCGAATATGCCATCCACTGGCTGGGTTCCAGGTTTCAACACGCCGCTCGGTGCGAGTGACTTGAAATACTCTTCGCGGGCTTTGAGGACATCGCTCTTCGGTAGTAACCCCTTGAGGAAGACATATCCATCTTCGCTGTAACGCCGACGCAGCTCTTCCATGGGCATTTCTGGAGACGACTCCTTCAACTTCCCGACTTGACCTGGTCGGAGTAACCCATCGTTTACGAAGAGTTTCTTGCCATCAAAGCTTGGCACGTCTTGCTCCGGTGATAGTGCATGGGGCATGATGAAGGATGTGATGAAGTAGCAATCGGCTTCGAACTGTCTGCACAAAGAGAGACAATATCTAGATGCCCAGCTTGTTGCTAAAATCTTCCGGCAACGTAAACGTGGTGTAAACCTATCGCCACTGCCATATCTGTACACGACAGACGAGTCTGCCGGGGAGACTTACCTCTTTCGTCCCTGCCAAGATGTGGGGTAGCAAGCGGGGCTAGTCGCCGCTGTGACACGCTATCTGGATTTTCCGAAGCCGCGGACGCGATCATCAAAGCCCGTCCTTAGTAACCGGCGGAACATGGTTGGGCACGACTCTGCTCATCTCGGCGGGCATTCCTCGTCCTGGACCCCTTTGTGCATCGTTATCGCGCGTGTCCCAGCTTCGTAAATTAGCCCGCACACGCATCCTTCGCGATTCCACGACTACGTTAAGGTTTATCGCAAATGCCATGGTACGAGACTTCGCATCCTTTGCGCACGACCTGGACATCGCTTAACCGTTCGTAGCAATCGATGCCGCACGCGTCATTATCGATGTAAGCTGAAATTCTCAAGCTAGTGATGCATACTGATGACGTTGCGATAGGTGATGGCAAGCAGCCGGCATGTGCAAGGTGTGCGCAGGCGAAGAAGGAATGCGTCTACGAAAGCGGTAGACGGTTCCGGCGGTCGTCAATCTCAGATTCGTTCAGTGTTGAACAACCTTGGGTGTCATACCCTCCGCGAAGTGAGAAATTACCCGAATCTGTTGCATCTGTCGCTGACACGATTTGGCAGTCCAATTCTTGGACGAATCGAGCGAAATTCGCTCTCAATACGTGCAGGATGGCTACTCTCCATTCGACAGCCCTTCAGTTCATGCGCCATCACCCAGCTGTACACCTGGAAGTGCGCCGGGTACTGCTTTGACTCCAAACTCAACCTTGTTCACCCCTACGGAAAACCTCACAGTTCTGTCTTTACTAAACTCAGAATCTCCTGTGCAACATCAAGTACCTGCGCCTCCAGCATTACACGGCCACCGAGCCAACACAAGCACATACCAGCCACATCAGGAAGAGGGAGTTAGTACCTTTGTGTACCAACAGCCTCCTGGCGAGCCTGTGCTATGGCCTTTAGAGCATGAGCAAGAAGCAATGCTTCTGCAGCACTACATCGAGAACGTCGCCTTATTCGTGAGTACCTTTATCCAGAGAAAGGGCCTTTTACTGACGAACATAAGTTCGACATGGTCGACACCAGAGATCACTTTGGGGTTCACATCGTCCAGATGGCCAAGCAGAATAGTACCCTGATGTATGTAGTCTGTCTACTGCGGATATGCGTTGGCAATCGACTGACCACCAATCTCATTCAGGAACGCCATTCTTGCGCTATCTGCTCGTCAGCTTAGTCGCACCACCGATTTCGACCCTTACATTGCAGATGCCTATTATCAGCGATGCTTTGACACGCTGATTCCAGCACTGAACGACAACGTCACGATCAAAGAAGAGCCATTACTTGCTGCAACCGTCATCCTGCGACTCTTGGAAGAGATGAACATCTCAATTATCGGCTCCGATCCGCAAGGCCATCTGTTCGGCACCCAAGCTATAATTCGCGCTGCTGAACAGTCATACGCTGCAACGTCTGGCCCTGATCGGCGGCAGGCTATTTACTGGGCTGCTTTCCGTCAGGAACTGTGGATCTCACTCATGACGCAACGCGCGTTCAAATTACACATCTTTCCCGCTGATCGCTCACTCGAGCCGGCCAATGACTCCATCTGGGCTACACGAACGATTGCTCACCTCGGCGACGTGAGCAACTTCGTCTTTGGAGAAGGTAGAAATAGCATTGCTCGCTACAACCAACTGATGGATGAGAACAGATCCTGGACACAGTGTAGGCCTGACAGCTTCGACCCATACTATTTCCGGCAAGATCGAGATGGTAGCGGAAGAAACTTTCCGGACATTCGCTTCCACCAAAAGACCCACGTTATGGGTACCCAGTATAACCTCTTAGCTCATATGTTGCTGATTGTACATGATCCGGCGATTCCACAACTCGGACCAGCACACAAAGCATCACGCGCTATTGTGGATAGAACCGTGCAAGACAACGTCCGCACACTATGCGGAGTGGCCCAATCGAACTCCAAATGGTTTCCTTGCAAGTTTGTTGCCTGCTTCGCGATCGCATTAGGTAAGTTTGTTTCGATCCCATTACGCGACTATGACGAGACGTAGTCGCGTGTAATATTTGTATTGCTTCTGTATCTAACATACCCAGTCGGCGATCGCTTCACGCTTCGTGAGGATCAAGAACAGCTTCGCGATCTATGGTATGCCTGTGAACGATCGCATGGCTTTCCTCCCACAGCGGCCATTAACCAACTCGAAGAGTCGTGGGGTTGGCACAACTCTTGAAATACATGATGCGGCCATCTCCGACGGCTTCAGCTACCTTAGCACGCCTTTGGACTCATCATAAGCCCTAGTTGAATGCATTCATGCGCCTCGGGTCGAAATTACCGGGCATATAAGGCCCAAATCCCGTTCCGGAGTTGAACTGGTCCAGCTCATCTTCATCGAATCCCGCTCCGTAGAATGGCATTGGGTTGCCATGGTCACCTGCATGTCCGGGAAGAGCCGGGCCCTCCCACTTCGTGAAATGATGCTTTGGTCTGCGATGTCCCGCTGGCGGCTTCCCTTTGTCGTGCTCTTCGGCTAGATCGTAGACTCTATGCAGTCGTTTGTCGACAGGAAGCCGTTCCCTTATTCTCGCATATTCAGCCTTGATGTTCAACAGCAGGGGATATATGCGCACCCGCTCTACAAAGTCTTTCTCTAGAGCTTTCTTCAATATGCTACTGAGTTCTCTGGTATAGCTGGAGCCTGCCGGTTGTTCTTTGTCCCATCTTTGACCATGGGGGAACTCTTTGCTTCGCGGGCTTACGATTCCGGTACATGCGCAGACCATACTCAAGCCTAGTTGCCAGACATCTGAAGCGCCGCTGAAGAGTGGAAATTCTGGAGCGTCGAACCCAGGCGTCCCCCCTGGTTCCATTATAGCGCGTTCTATACTACGCTCAAGCGACAGATAGTCTTCAGTTACTGCCAATCCAAAGTCGGCAAGCTTCGCTATAACTGTATCACCTTCCATCGTCAGTAGGATGTTCGCAGGCTTGATGTCGCGATGATATATTTTACTCCAACCGGACTGGAATATCTCGTCATCGGTCATATTTGGCTGCGGGCCACGGTGACAGTACGTAAGGGCAGAAGACAGTTCAAAGAACCATCTCCATATCTTATGTTCGTTGACGTGGGCGCCCATAGCAACATTGAGCGCGACGTCTGCCAGGTTACCTACTGTACAATACTCCAGATACACAGCTCCGTCTGGTTTGCGCTTATCGAAAAATTGGTCCACCATCTTAGTAATATTCTCGTGGTCCTGAACCTGGTGCAAAATCTGGATTTCTTTGCGCGGTACATCGTTCTCGAACGCGTCTTTACTGAAGCGCTTCTCAATGAATTCCATACCCCGAGCTTTTGGATTACTACATTGGACTTTGCTTATGCCGCCGTTCAGACCTCCGCCCATGCTACCGAGCTTCTGGATTACTGTCCATTTTTCTCTCGGTTTTGGTTGATAGGTTACGGATAGCTTCTTGCAAATTTTGGGCATCGCAGTCCCAGGATAGCGCCGTTAGTGTTGAATATTTAGGAGTGTGGTTAACGTTGTGAAAGATGGCAAAATGAAGGTTCAACGGACTCATTCTCTTGTTTGAGTAGCCTGCGATCGGTCTCAGCGATTGTTTTTATCACGATATCCTTTCCATTGTTGTGTTAAAGGCGCAAAGTGCTATATCACGCTTTTGTGATGCGTAAATTGACCAGGATGCAATGCGCGTCTCGTGGTTCATACTTGTCTCGCCGATGACTCTCCATGTGACGTGGTATTTTCAAGCATAGCAAACCTTTCTGCTTCAAATAGTGAGAGGAATCACGTACTTCTAGTCACAAAGTCAGCAAGACCATCATCATCATCATCTCGTAACATCTGTACCGCAACATCTCATCGAATGTCACGGAATCTAAGATCTCGTGGGCGTGGTCGAGGGAAAGAACCCATCACAGATGACCTAATGGATCTTGATTACTCGCCAGACGATGTGGAGATGCAGGACCCGCCGCCAGAGGCTTTGTCGCGCCTCAGACCTCGAAAGCCTCCATCTTCGCAAGCTGTGACTACGGAAGAGTCGCCATTCTGGACAGACCCTTCACACAGAACGCCCTTGCCCGAAAGCTCGCCCCCTCCAGCGCCTCCAAGATTGAAGCAACCCATGACATTAAAATTTCGGAATGATCATGTTGGCGAGCCTCCCGGTTTTGTTCGTGGAACAGCTGCTCTTGTGCGCGAGACTGGCGAGGAACGCTGGAAAAATGGTGTACTAAGCGGCAGCGCACTGATCCGGATGCTGGAAGATCTATCGCGCAGCACCAAACGCGAACACTGGCAGGTCTGTGCCTTGCTAGATGGCTTCGCCGCAAAGTTTGGTCGCTTCCACACCCCGGATGGTCTCATAGTGGCGGATGCATATGAGACGTACATGCTCATGCTCGCACGTAAAGTTTGGGTTGATCACACAGGCGAATTTGCTGGGGGAGATGTTCTCTGGGTACCCGGACTAGAACCTAGAGCCATCACCGATCCGGACTGGGAAGCCAGCGCAAGGCAAAATTTACCGGAGTTACCTATCAAACATTACCAGCCGCCTTGGTTGGCGGCGGAGAATCAGTACATGCACCGCGTTATGCAACGGCCACAAAAGGGGGAGATTGTCTACAAGGGCTGGGTTGATGACATGAAATGGGAAAGAGATATCCGAGAGGGTGAGAAAATTGATCAAGGCACGCCCAGCGACGACCCTGTTGTTTCCACATCAAATACAGAATGAAGGGTAGCAGGCGTCAATACTTCCAGGGGTCAGTAGCAGGCCGTTCCGTTTTGGCCAAGGCAGCAATCAGTTGAAGGTACACCAATAACGAGAATGATTTAGGTAGTCGTAGAAATGTGACTTTACAACACGTAGTCAACGGTGAATGTGAACAGCTACATCGATCAATACCTGGGTGGTCGCGCGGAAGAGACACGCGATCATGACGTCATCATTCTGGAGTTGCACTAGGCTTCTTAGGGATGAACATCAACGAAATGCTCTACACTTCTGCACAGCAGCTCAGTCCACTCCGCCTTGCACAGGTGTTGTAGCTACCGCAAGACTGGTGAGGAGATGAGAAGAAAAGTCATGCGCTCTCGCTCACAGATCTAGCGCAAGGTGTCCAGCGTGGGCACACAGAAATCTTGGGAAGGGCCGCCGAGATCCCGACCGGAAAACGAGCATCGACTCAACGCGAAAGTCAAATACTGCACCTGCAGTAGGAGTATCATCGGCTGCATGACTTCAGTCCATCGATTAGGCGAAGACAGCCGTCTTCGCTGGCCTGTATGCGACCTCCAGTCAGCTGCATCTGCACCTGCACCTGCGAGCTCACCGTTCTTCCAGACCCCCCGAACCATCACCCCTCCCCATCCTCTTTGTTCTACAACGACGCATTGTGATCACCGCTGCATTGTGATCACCGCTGCAGCGTAAAACTATCAACTTGCTAATTCCTTCATCTCCCCCCTTATGCATCATCTGCTATTTTCAAACATTTGTTGATCGTTCCGGCCCGCGTGCATCTGACGTGCGTTTGCACAGCCTCAATTCCGGGTTGGCGGGCATAGTAAACCACGACTCTTGGTAGCGGCGATAGCGACCGTGCCTCTGTTCCGCGTAACGTTGCGCTTAGGCTTGCACATGCTCATGCAGCGGAATGGTCGTTCGGTGCAGAAGCGGGAGTGTTACCTAAAAAGGGAATGGCGAGAGAGTCGTGGTGATAGTGTGGTGCTTTGCCTACAGCAAGGTATGGTGTGTAGCATTGCCACTTGGACACTCACTGGCTATACTGTACTTTTCGGTGATTAGAACCTCATTGATACATTATGCAGTCGAAAGTGCTGGGTCGAGATCTTGGCCCGCTGGGTATGCTACAGCATACAACGTGCGCATGATAAGCTTTTCCGCCCCCAAACTCCCCGCATCTACTTTGCTCTCCTTCGAGACTTACGTGCATTTTAGTGGGTCCTTAGGTACTTCCGTGTTACCATTAACGTGGTTAGTGATGTGTAGACTGGTCAGTTGACTACGCGCAGTTGTAGGAGTGTATCATACATGATTTCCAAGCCTTCGTTTTCTCACAGCATGCGGAACCTAGTAATGTGACGGTACCTAGATAAGCCCCAAAAACGTGGCATGGAAAGGGTGTGACTCAGAACTTCAATGATTGGCCAGCCTTCAAAAGTAACTATCACCGACCATGTTCATGCCGCTCTCTTGTCATGCCGGATAATGACCGGTCAGGTACATCACGCAGTCAATTTTTCGATCCGCACGAGGCTGTCCGCAAGGCATATTTCCATGTCTTTGTCACATCTCATATAGCTGTCCGGATCTCTACTGGACAATGTCCAATTTGCTTACAGCGAAGTGACAACGTCAAACATGTTAGGCGTGAAGGGATGTACTCTGGGTGAATACTCAGTTCAATTTAGGTGGGCTAGCGCGATACCCGCCCGGAGACACCTGTCCAACAGTTTTGACCATGTTCCCTATCGTGACTATCAGCTACACCAGTATTCACTTTGGAAATTGTATCCATGCAAATTACTCTTTCGTACGCATGATGTCAATCAATGTAGGGGCCGAATTCCCTTTCCGGTAAATATCTGACCCTTACAAGTTCTATTGGCGTGACACCAATGTAGGCAATACATATAATCGAACGATAGACCGGCCCGGGACAGGCGATCGCGGGGGCGGTGCCGCAACGCTGCATCATCCCCATGACTGCAGCAGTCATGCGTATATGGTTTACTTCGATATCAATATGTGTTGAGAAACACGGATGATGTGTTAGAGTCAGGTATCATGAGCGATGTGCCGGGGCTATATGCAGCCTATGTATTGTTTGGCCCATCGAAAAGCCGGCGATGTGGAGTAGGGAGTTCAGATCTGGGTCTGAAGCGTACATCTCGTCAGCCTTCGCGAAGGCTGACGAGATTTACATTCGCATGCGGAAGGAACGTGAACTTTGATATTATGCAGTATATTTGGCTTTGATTTATTGGGATGACCTCTTTCTCGATGATCGTATTCATCTTCGCGTACCCCTCCACCTCGCTTCTAGTTCGCGAGCCCTTGCTGACGCTTCTTGTCTCTTTTTCGCTGCCATTTCCGCCTGGCTTTGTTGATAGTCCGGAAGTTCATCATCGGATCCTTGAGGGTCATTCAGCCCCAGCAAGTTCAGTTCTACTGTGACGGCGTCCAAGTGCGATGGTGGCTGCCATTGCTGATAAGCATCGAGAGGTGGATTGGGCACCGACATCGTGTGGTTCAGTGCAGGTGCTGCTCGTGACGAGATAAGCGGCGGTGGCTCAAAATTCTGCCAGTCGTCTCTCTGTTCCCTTGCAGGCCGCCGTGTTGGTAGGGTCCTCGAAGAATGCTGAGGATGTTGAAGAGGGATTGGGATAGTGTCATTAGTGTTACTTCGGGCGAAAAGTGAACCTCGAAGTTGCGGTGGGCCGGTTGGTGAAAAGGACTCGTTGTCGTTTGGCAGACCGGTCATAGCCTCTGCGAAAAGGTGAAATTGAGATACGTCAGTGAAAGCCTCAGTGGGAGAGCCCCATGTTGTGTGCGGTCGTGGCCGACTAGAGGCGTTGTCGCGGGCCGTAACGCCAAGCGTAGATTCGGGGAAAGTGCGCGATCGTGGTGTTGATGCTGTCTCGAAGTAAGGATTCATAGAAACAGCACGTTGTTGTAGAGGCCGGGAGGACTGCGGTTGTGGTGGCAGCGAGTACGGTTGGTACTGCACAGCGTCTGAGTGATTTGAAGCTGAAGAATGCGCCCGAGGAAAGGTCGCCGGGTCCTGATAAGTAGATTGACCGAACCCGTAGGGAGAGTTCGGCATGCTTCTGGAGTAAGTATGGCGGTGCTGGTTGCTTGTGTCTACGTTCAGGCTGGCCGAGTGCCGTTTTGGTTGATACGGTTCAGGTCGGAGATGGGTTGACTCCGGTTGCTCTGAAGATTCGCGTCGGAGAAACCCTCGCAACAAGGTTGGCTTGTGAGATCGCTTCTCTGGACCGGATGGCGATGGTGGTAGTGGCTTATTAAGGTTCGAGCCGCTCGTAGGGCATACACTGATCCGCTGCGAGGTTGCTTTGTAGGCGGATGGCTCTAATCGATGGCCATGCTCTTGTTGTTGGGCAGAAGAGGCAGGCATATCTAGCCACAGCTCATTCTCAGTCTGCAAGCGGCTGGAACGGTGATTATGTTGTGCCATGTATTCCTCGTCTTCGTTGTGCGTCGAGCCGCCCTGGAGGTGGAGAATAAGTCGATTGGAGGATAGAACTAGCTTGCTTGTAGACGAGATGTCGTCAAGCTTATAGTTAGACGATGCGGTCGGGATCGTCAGCAGCTGGGCGCCGGGTAGCATCCTAAAGAGAGCTGCTCCGTATGCAGATATGTCGAAGGCTGAACGCAGGGATGCGCAGACCAGGCCTAAGAGCTTGGTGTTGAATGTGGAGGTGAGGTGCGGCTTGAGGGCGTTGCGCTACTGCACCACTGTAGTATTCGAGCGAGTTTAAACGATGCTAATAGCCGATTCGCAGATCCGATAGCTCCAACTTTTCTATGCTTCCGAAATCCCGGGTGCGTGGTATTGCCAGTGGAACAGGTGCGATACATATGGTTGGCAACCTTAGTGCGGCGTAGCAGAGGGGTGGCGGTGGTCGTCGGGCGCAGGGGTAAGGCGTGAGCTGGTAAATTGCTATGTGTAGATGTCGGAAGGGACAATCCTTACAGAAGGACGTGCAGATTGCTTAAACGGTGCATGTTGAAGTCATACCAACGGGGCCAAGACACAGAAACTCCAATTGAAGCTCAGATCTGACGGAAATGGATGTGAAATTAGAGGACTCCATATCTGGGTTCGTCTGAAAGGATTTTGAGACGCATTGCTGGCCTAACTTTTCAGGCCAAACGCCCAAGCTTCAACGAGGCTCGCCGTCTTCGATACGGGTCCGGCACCTAAGAAACCCTTCCAACGCCCTACGCATGACTGACATGATATTACCGAACAGTAAGCGGTGAGGCTCAAGGCGGTACGTGGTCACTCGACCTTTGTGCAGCCAGCCGCTCGCCTCCCGAGGTCTGCATTCAGCGCAACAGCAAGGAGGGCGCTGAGGGAACGCGCCCAGCGGCAACAATCCTACTCTGAGTATGCAACGAGTCGGGCAGGTGGCAATGGGTAACGGAAGACGCGATCATCAGGGACCATTGAGATGAAAGAGAGTACGCCAGCACTGCCTCCCCTATCTCCTAATTTTAGATAGAGGGCGCGCTAAGCACAAACGTGGCAAGTATTTCGTAGCCGAGGCTGCAACACATCCATGGCATCGGTCCCCTGTCCGCGTGCATCCTCAACCATCACTGTCGCGTCCAGATATCACCACACCTTCTCAGCGGCAACAACAACAAGAATATTCGGAATACTTGTTTCTTGTGCGTCTTGTCGATCCGTTTCTGGTCCTACCTATTTCGTCAAAGCCCGTCTGGGCTGAGCCACATGAACGCACAGGTGCTGATGCGCATCAGTGCGAACGGGCGATGACATAGATCAGCTCGGCATCCCATTGTCTCGTGATGCTTTCAGCTGCGGAACAATAAGGAAACATTACTACTGCCCTTTTTTCTTAGTACTGGACCATAAGGCGCTGGAGAGCGGTACCGAAGGCTTTCGTGGTCGATCCAAGGACAACTCTTCAGTTGTGGACTCTGGGCGTGACGCTTATCAACAAGGCAGACTTCGTCTTCATCATCCTCCGCCTTGACGTCGTCTTTCGCGATGTAAGACAGTTGGCGATGTCGAGCTATGGCGTCACGACGCTGGCCTTATCGAATCAGCCACTTTCATGGAGGACCTGCGTCAAACCCCACAGAAATTACTCCAAGTCTGAATTGCAGGCACTATATTGTGTCTAATGCCTTTTTCTGTTTAGTCCGGTCGTGATGTGTATATGGAGTACTCTTGTGACCGTCGACGAGATTCAGTGCCTATTATAACTCGGGTCCATCACATGGTGGGCCAAGAAGAGAGCGGTGAACAAGTCTTTCGCACGTACTGCGACAAAGCTTGACGGACAGTACAGGACTCGCAACTCCGAAGAGATCGCACTGCACTTATCAACGAGATCGATTGCGCGCATCGATGTCAGGAAGATCTCTTAATCAAGCGGCAACTGCGCATCTGACAATACACAATACCACTACACCGAGAATGCACATTCACGTAGCCGCGATACCCATGGGTTCGATTGCTTCAGCCTTGGTATGACGTCGAGAACTGTGGATTATTCCATTGTTGATCGTTTGAGAGTTCACTCCCATCCAGCCCCTCACTGCCCGGCCTTAGGCCTCCAAGCCAACACTGAAACTCGCATGGACAGCCGCCTTTCGCCTGACCTCTGAATACTTTTGCATTGAGGCTGTGACCAGCAGGGATCGACCTATGCAGAAGTGGAAGTGTGTACAATGGATGAGCGGGACCGGAGTAGGCTTCCAGTTGACGGCGCACATGCCAGATCACAAAGGCCTTACTCCATAGCCTAAAGGGGAAGTTGATTCATATCCGAAGGATGGCATTGCGCAATATCATGACTGAATCCATATCTAACATAAACCCTGACGCTAATTCGGCACTACCTCCTAGACTTCGGAAACGACTATCTCTGGCTTCTTCTGCACGCGCATGGGCGTCGGCTTTACCACCCCGACCTTCGCCGACCAACTATCGGACCGATCATCTTCAAGTTGGATGCCTTTCTCGCCATACTCCATTTCCTCAGACCCCTGCAGTCGTCGCGCTAGCATATTTCGTGCTATAATTGCGTACCGTGCGAGCACGAACAGCGCAATCATTCCGCCCGCATAACCCAAGACATGCAGAACAATACTGGCGTTGCCGTGTGCCGGGTTCATCCACTCATACACGTAGAAGCCCTGAGTATACCGCGTGAGGTACGAGAGCCCAAGGTAAATCGACAAGACTCCAAGGACAACCGACATATGATGCCATGGCTGTGGCTCGGTTGCTGATAGTATGATCTCAGTCGCAGCAAAGACGCTGTTGAGACCGTGAACGGAGATGTTGATCCACTGTTCGAATCGTCCAGCCGGCCACCCAGAGTTCATGGTACCCCAGAAGACGATCGTGACCAAGAACGGAAATGAGGTCATGGTGGAGTAGTACATGCTATGCAAGAGCTGCAAGTACTTTGGCCACGTGTGTAACCATGTTCGTTGCCGGAAAGCATACATGAATGTGTGTACGCTCGAGACGAGGAAGTAGAAACCGAGCGACCAGAAGGTGAGGTAGGTGAAGAATGAGAACGACTGCCCGATAGCTGCATTGCCCTGTTGAATAGTATAGGATCCTATGTTCACATCTTTGAGTTTGATTGTAGCCGTCTCGTTCGCCAGCCAGGTATAGCATGTTATGATAGTCGTGAAGCAGTATATGCTGAGCAAGGCGCGGATGCATGCGAGAACGACGGGTGAGACGAAGTGCGAACGAACGAAGTTGTATGACGGATCGAAGCCGGCCCTGGGCACCCCCCAGGTTTCGTAGGTGAATAGCTTCATGATGTTTGATACGAGAGTGGAGCTTATGAAAATAACGAGCGAAGTGCGGATGGCCTGCTATGAACGTATGCAACTCCTAACGCAGAGTCTGAAAGGTAGTCGGGTAGCGAGCCGTGTCTCAAGAAAAGAAACAAGTGCATGATATATGGATCAACCGCACGAAACAATACTCAGAGGGCTTCTTACCGCACTGATGTTGCGCAAGATGGATACAGCAAGCCACATGAAGGCCTCAGTTCAGTGAATGCATCCTTTAGCAACGCCACAAGATCCCTATCACATACCAACATCTGCACCACTGCGCTATCGCGATGCGAAAGTCCGTAGTACCAACCAAATATTTCCTAGAGTACCGTTCGTTCAAGCCTTACGCCAGCCCTACGGAGTTCAGTACGTGGCCCTCGCGCTGTGATTCCTCAGCCCTCGCAGATGAAGGCTTGTTATCAGCCCACAGGCGCCTACGGGGCTACCGAGGGCTTTCACGCGAGTACACCATGCTTCGCCTAGCTATTCGTTGTGATGCTGGAATTGGTTATTGTTCAGCTGGGCCAAATGGCGTTAGCGAAGGGGTAGCGCCCAAAAGGGCTTGGTGCGGACCGGATCGGTGCTAGCTCGAATCTCAGCCTTACGGTAGCTTTGCTTCTCAGCGCATGCTACGTGCGCCCAGATCGGTCGAAGTATGCGGAGGTCGCGATTCATCGGACGATGTTTGCATGTATGCAGAAAGTGTATCGCGCATTGTAGTGTGTGTTTGCAGACGATGAGAAGGTGCGATTGGATGATGGGTGTATGCGCTGGCTCCGATGCCGGGCCATGCCGAATGCGCTGCCCTCGGGCCCATGGCACCTGCTCTTGGGCTATGAAACTTCAAAACCAAAAGACCGCGTTTCAGGACTACTACTAAATTCCTCGTTTCTATCGTTAGTTTGGGGACCCGGGTGGAAAGTGGACTTCAATTTTCATGAGCGGTTGACATTGCGCGTTGGTACGATCGCCATCCCCCACCCAATACTCTGTCCACATGTACATCGACGAACATTCAGGTTACGTTTCTGTTCTTCATGAGGCCAGGTTCAATAGCACCAGAAGCTGCGGCGAACCAATTTCCATCCATTGTCTTTGCACGACCTGATGACTACGTGCTACTGCACTCCCAAAGTACTAAATGAGTGAGCGTGGCTGATGATCACAACCGTCCAAATAGCCGAAGCTGCTCCAATATCCGCCTGACTAACATTCGAGTATGTTCCTCTGACACGAGAACATTTGACCTGCCCTTTTGAGTAGACTTGTAACAGTACCTAAGAAAAGCACGCTAAGGTGTTTCTCACACTCTTTCTAAAAACTCCAGTCAAGGCGCCTACGCTCGATTGATGACAGAACCATTCCAGTGTACTCTGTCACTACCTCAGTCTCTTCTATGAGAACACTGATACCCTTCTCTTCACATCTACTCCGGAGCTTCTCTAAGCTTGCGCGCGTCGCACAAAGCCCTTTCTGTCGTGGAAGGTAGGCCAGCTTCAAGGTGACTAGCTCAGACCAGTAGTTGTGTGCGGCCATTTCCAGAATTTTGATGGCAACTTGAGAGGTACACTCATGAAGTTTGAAAGTCTTGAGCGACTTCGGGAGGTGGTTCAGCAGTGTCTCATAATCCACCTGCAAATCGGCTGGGATTCTAGATGGAAGCAGAAAATTCTGGTCGACCTCCAAGTATTGAAGATTGCTAAACTCGCGGAGATCGGCGAGAAACATGCCTTCCGTGATAGCGCCTGCAAAACCGGTGAGAACGAGGCGCCTCAACGAAGCCTTGTGCTCGAGCAGGGAGCGCCAAACCGAGGTGTGCCAGATTGGTTCAGGCCCTTCTTTAACGCACAGTGCGAGGCTGATGGTGTACTCGAAAACTTCTAGGTTCATGCACATTTCAAGCAACTGTAACCACATGTAGCTGGGGAGGTAGCATCTAATCAGCCGGAGGGTTGTGACTGATAGCTTTATGGAAGAAAACCAGGCCCGATGATCGTAATGAACCAGTACCCTGCCCGTGAGAGACATGTCGAAGAAGGCGAGTTCTTTCAGGTTTGGAGACCTCATCAGGCAGCAGCAGCTATCGGGGAATTCTTCGGTCGTGATTTGCCGAAGGTGCAATGTGCTGAGCGACTTGAAGGAGGTCACACACCCCAAAAGATGCCACAGGCACGTGAGGTCGCCACTCAGATTGACATACTCCAGTCCAGACAGCAATGTCAACAAGAGGCCGACCACTGCCGGTTCATATCTATTGCGCACCTGGCGCAGCCATACGGTCCTAGTCTTCACGGTCAGACCGGGCAGGGATCCAATCGTCTTTGCTATCATGTCGATATTCGTTGCTGTGAATATATTGGCAGGAAGCTTCTTGTTGTATTTGTGTTGCCGATCGATTGATAGTGTCTTGAAGCCCGAGGCATGCGACTGGATTATGCTCGCGTCTGTATCAGGTGATAGACTGCACAGGTAGTGAAGAATCTGAGCGATAACGCCGGCTGGATCTGCTTTTGGATCTGAACCTGAGCCTGAAAGTAACGCGATAGGACGGGTAATCTTCCTTGTCGTGCGAACAGTACCATGAAAGCGTTTAGCAGTCAAGGCGAGCGCGTCCAGAGAAAATTTGTCGTTGCGAAGATAAAAGAGCGCCATCATCAGAAGCTCGTCGGGCAGATCACCAAGCTTGATTTGAGTCTCTTGAGACATCTCCGCGGATAGCCCTTCAGGTTTGTCCACCTCGTTCACGAAACTGCGCGGTGAGGGAATCAGAACAGCTTTCGGCTCGCTGGGTCTGTTTTCGGAGTCCGGTTGACCACGATGCCTAGATGTACGAACTTCGAAGGATTGACAAGCCTTACGCTTGTTTGACATGTTGAGCTAGGAGTGCTAGAAGTTGACATGTCAGCTATCCGCATACGTGTAGTGATGGGTAAGTAACATACCAAGGCTTGGGTCTTCAAGAGAGCTATATAGACGCGCAGATCTTGTTTGTTAATCCGGAAAGCTATGTGAGACGTCAATAAAGGCCCAGAGAGCTGCCGATCTTGCCTACTACTCACAGTGAGGTCTTCTTGGATCGTATGTCGGAGTACTAGAGGCACAGTAGAACTCGATCTGTGTTCAGAATACTGAGACTCCGATGATGTGTTTCCGGGTGTTGTGCGTAGTGATAGACACTCGTGTCGGTTCTGTATCGCGTCTGCGTACTGCATCTGTCAACGTTTGTTACGCGCGAGCCTGAAAGCCTTTGGATCCGAGCTATGCAGCGGGGGTAACTTACGAGCCAACTTACCGGATACCCGTCTAACAATCGTGGACGGCGACTGATGTGTAGTATTGGTGGGGTAGTGGAGGGAGCGAGTTTATACGCAGTGGGCGAGAGCTCGGGCGTCGAGATACGCTAACTCCCGGAGCGCCGCCTACGCAACGACGAGGCTGATCGGACAAGCTTCTTACCGTGATGAAGCTCTCCTGAGTCTCCCTATATTCCAGACCGAGCCTGAGTAGATCTCTTAAGCCAGCTGCAATGCGAGCTATACCGACGTGCATCAAGCTAGAACGTGACCGACGGAGGAGCTACGCGAACCGACGCTCCAGCCGACCCTTTCCCTCACAGCAACAAGCGCGAACATCCCTCACAGCAAGGGTCCCTGAGACTTGACCATCCACAGCAGAGCATTGGCTGAAGGAGATATCGACGGCGCCTCTGATAAGTGCATCACCCTGTTTCTCGTGGTAGAGCGACCAGTCGTGCTGACCAGACTACAGCTTGCCGACGGACATGCCTCCTATAGCGATCTTAGGTGCACTACCACGCCTTCCAGTGGAGCGCCCTTTTGATGACACTCGACGACGCCAGACCTGATGTGCTGACGACAGTGGCAGCCTCCTCCGACGCTCATCGACCGGCAGAAGACCCAACTACCCTCCCCGCGCGACAGCTATACCAGACGCTGGACGACACCCGATGCGCCCACGAAGCTAGCATCGGCACCGAACACAACGAGGCGATGTTTGTCCTCTCGATGCAGGTTGCGGACAAAGGGCTTGGAAAAGGGGGAGCATGACGCCTCAATGGGACCTGAGACAACCCCGAACCGACTGTATCACACTTTCGCCGTCGGTCCATCATATTGCATGTCCAGTCGTCGTATCCTGGTATGTCGGTACAGATGGTGCGATATCCGCCGCCTACCTGGCAATCGCTGGATCCCAACTCTTTTTGTCTTACGGATGCCTCTCAAGATGGCAGATAGCCTACCTAGGTACCATAATACCAGGACTCAGGCGAGCACCTCAAGTATGCAGGAGTAGAAAGGTACCCATTGCCGTCGCTGGAAATGCTGCTGCGAGCCGACCTCTTTTCCACAACACCAAACGAACAAGAAAGCGAGAGCAGGTCTACAAAGGGGCAGCGATAAGTGCTAGCGAAGTGGATGGCCGCAAGAAATTCCAGATGGAGCTTTCGGTCGGGAGAATTCCAACAGCGTCACATCCGAAGCGAGAGCTGTAGAGATGATGAAGTTACAAACTTCGTGGAGACGGGCGAAGTTTGAAGTGGAAGTGGAAGTGTCTTCGGGCCGCGCACGGGCCACACCCCAACAAACTTCGGACGCGTCCTCAGCCAACTTGCCATTCATCTTCGGTGTCTTGGCTGCAATGCTAGATAACGTTCGTGGTAAAGAGATATACTCGGCAGGGCTTGGAGGACGCGCAACATGGGCACAATCCCCGGTTGTCTAGACGTCAAGCTGCTTATCAGAGTCTGCACCAAATCGACGCGACCGACCTCCCTCGTTCCTACCTGGGTAGTTCTTGTCAGCCAGGAGCCAACGCCGATATTGAGCCAATAATCCAGCGCGTCTCTCTATCCATCGATCATCGACCTCTCCGTCTGTATCTGTGGAACGGACAGCCTACCAGACTCAGCAGAAGCGGGGTTATGCGCAGCTCTACTCTGTCCCAGCGGCGCGTAGCAGACGAGCTGGTATCCCGCGGTTCGGCCACGCTCAGGTGGATGACACTTCGCGTTCTCTTCCCTTGTCTACGCGCATTCCGCAGGCAATGTAGGGTTGCATCAGGCGCGAACGGTGGATCCAGAGAGAGGGAGCACGGTAAGCCGATCTGCTTCAGGAGGCCGCGAGGAAATTGAGTTTAGGAATGCACGTATGCGTTACAAGTATATGAAAAGAACGCTTCTCGAATGATGCGCGGCGGGAGACGTCTAGTGTGACAGTCCTTCGAGCCCTACTCAAGTCGCCTTGTTGACAGAAGGGCTTTGAAAGGTCCGATCACGCTATGGGTAGCGTCGAGGGCGGACGGAGGCGACCTTGGAAACACGTTGGTGCACCGTGCACCAGCGATACTGTTCCAGATGGAGAAAAAGAAACGTCACGGCAACTGGGTCCACGGTGCGTTTACCGGAACGCTACAAAACATTTGCTCAGGGATCCTACGCGTCAGCCTTACGAGTTCAGCGCGCGGTCAATCTCTCATGAGGGCAGACACAATTCTTGTCCTATACTACTTATCTGCCTGCTGGAAGAGACTATTGTGCAAGCTCTCTACGCAGACGGAATAGGGACATCCCGCCAGAAGCAGTAAACTGGGTCTTACAGACGCACACATCGCGATGGACTGCTGTAGTGGCAAGACCTTCTTACACTTCTAGCCAGACCTTCATTGACATGAAATTCGGGATACCATATTTGCGGCAAGCAAATGCTTGACGGGTGCGTAGGACTCGATATGGGTCGGGTCAAACTTGGCGCTGCCGCAGACCCAATTTCACAAAGTTCGTCGTATCTACTTTTTGGAGTCCTTTATGGCGTCGAGTCAACGGATTGAAGAACTCAACTTCACTATGCGCCACTCAGATTGAGGACGACCTGTGCGTCGCAGCGCCCTTGTCAAGCTTAGTCTTGATGAACAGCTCATCCATACAAATGATCCTCGTGTTCCGTTCTGCCATGTCCAGCCTCTTAGAAGAGGCGCAATAGATCGTCTTGCGAGGCTCGTGTGTCATCGGTAAGCTGACAGGAATACGCGCTACGTCATGTCGAAGATGATCTGTGACAATATTTGGTCGATTTGAATTGGTGACATGGGATGGCCATGCTAGGCGCGGGCTTAGGATTCTACCCACGGAAGTTTGTCGCGCAACACACCACCACGAGTCCTGGAGCAGAACATCATCAAATCAAGTAGCACGATGAGAATCGTATACAGTGCGTTTTCTAGATGATGAAATTATCGTCTGGTGTCTTTTGCTCATACTAACGCAATATAGACACGCAGACTACATACCAAACAGATTGCGATGCCAAATGCACTAAACCCCAAGGGCCGAGCTAATAATCTTAAGCCCTGGAGCAGGCCGCCGCAGCTCACAATCCCAGCGATCCCGCAAGCTGGCCACCTTATCTTGGCGGCTGGTTCTCGACGTGACCCTTTAACTTCAAAACAGGCTAGGCTGATCATGCGCGTCCTTGTGGCCTCATCAACCCGTGGGGTTCTCACAACATTCCGATCAGAGTCGTTCCAACCCACCTCGGCCGTTCCTGCAGACCCCTCCGACGACAAACGTCGCGTTGCGCGATCGCGACTGTGTTCTTTAACGCACTACGCGTGGTGTCTCGGCTCAGAGTTGTTGTTCTGCGCTCTGAAGTCTTTCCCGCGCAACGATGCCTCAGAGGAGTCCTTTCCACGGATGAAAGCGCATTGGCCCACACTTCACTCAACATCGACGCAGATGCACTCGCAAAATAGCTAGTCGCTTCGCGTAACCGACAAATATTTCTTGGCCGTTTGTATCATACAAACAGCAAACTGCATATAGTGTTTGGCATTATTAGCGACTAGCATTACATCAAGATGTCCGAGGTAAGTTGTCATAGAGCCCCAACACTACTAGGCTTGACCTACCAGCTGTCTAATCAGAGCTAACTGGATGCAGTCGCCAGCCGGTACGTCGCCGGATCGCGACGGTATATATCCATCAAATGGCCAGACGTACGACAAGTACCATTTCCAGGAAAAGAACGTCCACATGGATGACATCGAACTGGACGATGAAGAAGAGGATGAGGACATAGATCAGCTCATCGAAGATCTAGAGTCACAAGATGGCGAAAACGCCGACTACGAAGAGGAAGAAGCGCAACAACCAGGCGGCGCACGCCTCATCCCAGAAGAACTTCTACAGACTGACACGCGCATTGGCTTGACGTCCGCAGAGGTACTCATACGGCGGAAGAAATTTGGCGAAAACAAAATGAAAGGTACTTATGCTTCTTTTTCACCATCAGCACTTGCTCACCATATGCAGAGGAGTCAACGAACAACTGGGTCAAATTTCTGATGTTCTTTGTCGGACCAATCCAATTTGTCATGGAAGCGGCTGCCATTCTCGCTGCAGGACTCCAGGACTGGGTCGACTTTGGTGTCATCTGCGGCTTGCTCCTCCTAAATGCGAGTGTAGGCTTCATCCAAGAGTACCAGGCTGGCTCCATCGTGGAAGAATTGAAGAAGACGCTGGCCCTCAAGGCTACTGTATTACGCGACGGCACTTTGATTGAGATCGAAGCATCTGATGTGGTGCCTGGCGACATTCTGCAAGTCGAGGAGGGCGTCATCGTTCCAGCTGATGGGCGCATCGTTACGGAGAATGCGTTCGTGCAGGTTGATCAGTCTTCGATCACTGGAGAATCATTGGCTGTCGACAAGCACCGAGGAGATACGTGCTACGCATCTTCTGCAGTCAAGCGCGGCGAGGCTTTCGTTGTGATTACAGCTACCGGCGATTCGACGTTTGTTGGGCGTGCAGCATCGCTCGTTGCAAGCGCTTCCAGCGGGCCCGGTCACTTCACCCA